TGCATCTGAATAATGTAAAAGGGCAACGAGGCCATTTTGGAATTTTTAACCGGAGGTTTTGTTTTAACGTTTGTTTCTTCATCCAAATTAACGAACGCAATATTCTTCCGTTTAAAATATTCTTTTGTCATGAAATCGCGGTACTTAAAAGTTTGATTTGAAATTGAGTCCCTGCTCAATTATTCTTTTGAAACATTTGAGATTGAGATTCAAGTGGATCTGCTCTCCCTAGTATCGATCTTAATTAGTCTCTTTTCCCGCGCTGTTACATGAACGTATTTCTGCCAAACGGAACTATGTGCATTATGACGTGAGTCCTGTTATGCATATATTCTTATGAGTCTCAGGGCTCATGTCTTAATGTAAACAGTTCCGTTTGGAATAAATACGCCCACATGATCCCTTTCAGCAGAGATGCGATCGAATATCCGGATCTTCTCTTGTTCTCGATTTCTTAAATTGTTGGCTTCTCCTCCGTTGGCGGATTTTTATAGTGGCGTGTCGTGAATTGCGATGTATCGATTGTTATGCCATTAAAACCTATGGGAAAGGATCGATAAACAGGGTGTTCGCAGCGAACACCTTAATAATCGATTCTTTACCATAACATTAAATGGCATGACAATCAATACATCGCAATTCACGCCACGCCACTGGGTTTAATTTTAAGAAACTGTACAAAACAATCATTTTTTGTCATCGTTCCTATACAACACCAAAAAAGAAGATATTTGTAAGAAACCGAAACGATCTATGTTCCAAAATCGGCAGCAGAATTTATAATGTGAATGCTCGAGGCTTAATATTTCGGGTCAGTAGCATCCTTTATACATATTGCATTGACCTTCAGGAATCGATGACCAATTAGCTCAAGTTTCATTTCATAATAAACCGTAGCGATGCACCTCAGAATAGAGATTTCTATATTTTCCCAGAACTCGGATTTTGATTACATCCTAAGAATTCACTCCGGTTCAATTTTGCTCTAGGTTTAAAGCTTCATGCTGTATTAACGAAGTTACGAGATTTTTTTTTTTTTTCATTTTATTTTTAAGTAGCTGAAAGGTTTTTCCCGACAACAGTTCAGCTTCTCGCGATATTCTTTTCAATCCGAGTAACTTTCAAAGACAGTTTCCCTCCCGAGCACGTCTGCATAGATCAATAGTACCCGAGAGGAAAAAACCGCTTTTTTTAAGAGAGAGGACTCTTCTGACCCGTTTCTGCTCCCGGAGCCACCATCGTGGCCGCGCCTTCAATCTCGGAGAATACGCCCAGTCCTACGAACCGGGTTAATACACAGGAGGAAGTTTCCCGGAGAAAATTGGCTACATCAGTTCGAGGCTGGAAGGGAATCGCTGACTCGGTAATTTGGCGAATAGTCGGATCCTAAAGGGGTTGTATCCTCCCCTCCCCCTCTCTCCGCCAGTTTCCCCGGTTTGACGGGGCTCTCGGTGCTGCTGAGTTTGGTGCGAAAAAATCGCCCTCCGCACGCGTGGCGCGAAAAAAGCCTGTCAATTATCCGAAAGTTGGCATCGTCGTGCAAAAAATCGCGCGTCTCAGTTATCGCTCCACGTTTCGGATGACACCGATTGCAGAAAAAACCCGATGTCAAACCGCTGGAAAAACTACTTGATGTTCGTCTGAAATTATGGGAATGCGCGTTGCATATCTGCCTAAATGAAGGCGATTTTTCTTCGGAGGCTCTGTCTGTCTGTTCTGATGGCTTGACTTGGCGTGGGTCGAGCGACGCGAGTAGAGCTTATGAGTTCCTGATATGCCTGTAACCTTCAGAGACCCTTTCGACGAGAAATGACCCCCCATACAGACGGTTATAAAATGAACATTTTTAGAGGTTGAAACAGATGTATCACGGCGTGATTTATCGAAACTCAAAGGGCGCTTTTAGCATATTTTCTCATTTTTCATAAACGGACCCGTAACCTCTTTGGCTTCCTAGATTCTCGTTGTTTTTAGGAGCCATTCTTGCGAACGACTTTAAAAAACTCACATTTTTAAGATAGAATCGATTTTTGGAATAAAGGCGTAAGTCCATAGGCATTTCTCAATATTGCCATGTTTAACGGAACTTTCCAAATTTTACAGAAACTCGTGGATTGTAAAAAGAAAAATTTGCCTTTTCCCCAATATATTTGCACAACTGTCTATTCATACAAAAATAAAAAAGACCTTGGAATTTTTAAACGCCGCAATAGATTTACGATCTTATTTTGCAATAGAAAAAAAAATCGATTCAGTTGTCAAAAGCAGTAAATAAGAGCCTTTTATGATACCTCAGGCCAAGATTGAGACAAGTGTTGAGCAGTGACTTGGCGTGCTTTGCGATGTATCGATTGATCTGCCATTTAAATCAAAGGAAATAGATCGATAAACACGGCGTTTGCAACTAACACCTAATAATCGATTCATTACCACAGCTTCAAATGGAGAAATATCGATAATCGATCATTCATACATCTCCACTCAAGAATCTCACTTTTTTTTTTATCAAATTACTGAAACACAAAGTGGGATACCGAAATGATCAGTCTTTACGACCAGAAAAGATATAGTTTCAAAATGTTCCCCTTCTTCTTTTGATCCGCAGCTGGGGTGCAGGTTTTTCAAAGTCCTTGCCATTTTTACATTTTAACGAAAGAAAGCGTGAATTTTAACTCGCAGCTTCTCTTCAGAAGGCAACCGAAAGCTATATCAGTGATGCATGTGCGACAGCTAGCGTCCTCGATGTAATGTGCATGGAGCAAGTATAGTATTCATTGACTGGGGATCACTAAATATCCGTTAGCGTCAGTACACGTTGGCGCAATAAGACTTTGTAATCCGCGAATTCCTGCACCAGATCAAGATGGGAAGTGACGGGTGACGTGTGAGTCCACAAGCCCCAGGGAATAGCTATGTGATCCAGTGCAATCTGTGCTGCCACCTCTGCCAGATTTACTCAATTTACGAGCCGAAGATTGGCCCATGAGTATTGGATAAGGTTTCCAAAGCGCTTTTCAACACAATGGTTAAAATTTATTTTTCGCACACAAGAGATACAGCCGGATAAATATACTCTTAAAGGGTAAAATCGCACAAAAACCACACTAAGCACATCAAAAAAATCTGAAATCCTTTCCTTAGCGCGCAATCTCCGTAGTCTATAAAACGCTTTTTCAAGTTTTCCGAGTCTGAAGGTGGTTTTTCGTCCAGGTCAGTCACTGTCGACCAGGTTTGCACAGGCCGAAAAGCGAAAGAAACTGACCTGAGTAAGCCAACGCTTTCACTAACATTTTCTGTTTTACTATTTCTATCGTTTTCAAGCGTTTGTTAACACTTTCCTTCTTTAATTTGCAGCAAAAAAAAGCTTTAATTCAGTTGAAATCTTACGCAAGGAGAGTTTATCAAAGTTCTCGAGATTGTTTGATTATTTGGGTTACGGCTCTCCTCTGATAAAGCTGACACAGCGGAGCGGTGTGCCGGGCCGGGCACGCTGCATGCAGCCAGCCAGCGTGACACGCGCATTGGCGCCTACAAACCTAACAGGGATACTTCACGCATTGCGCATTTGCGCAATGCGTGAAGTATCCCTGTTAGGTTTGTAGGCGCCAGTGCGCGTTCCGCGCTGGGAGCACACCGCTCCGCTGTGTTAGGCTCTAATATTTTAACTCGCGGAGTCAGTGTTTTTCAACTCATGATTTTGAAATGTTTCCAATCTTTGCATGGATTATTCTCATTTAAATTTATGGAAAAAAATACGTATTAAAGGAAAATATAATGTGTGTTTTGTAAATATGAAGGTGGTTCCGTGTCAACTTTAATGATTCACGAAGCTCTTTAATTTTTTCTTTTATAGTTTGCGCTTTTACTGTACTGCAGTGCGGTGCACGCGCAACCAAACTCTCAAAATCGGACGTATTTGACTCTAAAAAAGAATGTAAAAACGGGTTAAAACCAAAGATTGCGTGTCTCTCCCCCCCGTCCCTTTAATTCATTTTTTTTATAGTCACTTTCAACACAAATACCGCTCTTTGAGATTAATATCGACATTAAGTTGGAATTTTCTAGCCAACGTGCGTTAAAAATCTTCATAACGCTGAAAACCTCAATACCGAGGGAAAAGGATCATATGAGCACAATTTTCCCTCAAAGAGATACGCTGTTTGGTGCAATACTAGTTACGACAATTCAAGGAGGTAACTGTAGATGCGTTTAGGGTCTAATTGGACCCATCATCAGTACAGCAATACAGCAGCAGCGGAAATTTTGAAACATCAAAATGGGGTTGCGGTATTTTGCACTCTGGCCATCGATTTATTGGATTGTTTGAATCGACAAGACATACCTCCATTTTGACTTGGACTCCCGATAACCATTAAAATTCGTGCATGTTAGGGTCCATCTCACAACACTGCCGTGAAAAAGCCGTATATGCATTCGAATGTTGCCAAATTTCTTCTTTGAAAACATGTTTTTTAAGGAAAATTATGCATATTCATATTTATCCTTGAAATTTTCTGACTTTTTACATCAAATTACGTAAGAAATCCTCTGAAAAATCTGAGGAGAAACATTCACAAATTTCCCCGAAAATTTGTGATTTTTCGAGGGAAATTTTGTACCGCTTGATACCTTATACGACGTTCTCACTAAGCACGGCAGAATAAGGTCAGCGGGCCGATTATTGAAATTGATAGACAAAGCTATAGACAAAGAAGACAAAAGAGATATGGAGAGATCCTATTGGTGGAAGCGGGTGGTTGCAATGGACAAAGGAGGTAGGTAATAGACTTACTAACGGCAACCCATGAGAGACCCGACAGTTAGTCTATCATTTTCTCCCTTTGTCTATAGGAACCACCCATTTCAACCAAAAGGATCGCTCCATACTCCCTATGTCTTCTTTGTCTATAGCTTTGTCCATCAATTTCAATAATCAGTCCGCAGATCTTTTTTATTTAAAAACACCCAACCGGAGGAAGAATGGATTGAAGGACACTCACCGTTTACGTTGAGCGTGACGGTGGAATCAGCCTTATTGTTGTTGGTGGAGGTGGACGAGAGGCAGCTGGAGTTGTTGGGCGAGAGCTGGCCGCTCGGCAGAGGGGGAGGCAGAGGGGGGGACACAGGGAGGGGGGCCAGGGGGGCCGGCGCTGGGGGCAGGTCACCGTCCCCCCGTGGGGTCGCGTGGAGTCGGTGACTGTAGTGGCTCCGGTGCTGCATCCGATGCTGGTGAATTGAGTTCAAAACTATATTGCTAGAGGTCCGAGACAGGGCTTTACGTTGTCGCACTGCCTCTTTGTATATCCTGCAATCAAACAAAACACCACCCCGTCAGAATCGGACGACATTTTCCAGTTTGAAACTACAGAGGATCTGTTGCATGCTCCGGGGATTCGCAATTTATGTACTTTTTCTTATAAAAAAATCTAGATTAATGAGTAAAATTAATTATAAAAGCGTGTTGATTGAAATAAGCATAAAATAAGCACGGTTGTGTGGAAATCAGATGACGGATGAGTCCCACAGTTCCATCATCTACCATCAAATTTTTGCAGGCCGCAGAAATTTGATGGTGAATGGTGCGCACCAGTCACCATTTGATCGGAAATTGATGGGAATTTGAGCGTGTAACCAGCACATGACGAAGAATGCCGAACACGGCCGAAGGCCTACTCGCCACCAAGTGCGCCTGACTCGCAGGTGTATCTGCCCCTTAAGTAAATAGCGGAATACGTTAGAATCGGATCCCCTATTCTGCCGTGCTTAGGAAAAACGCCGTATGGACGTTCGAGTGTTGCCAAATTTCCTTCGAGAAAATGTTCATTTTTGAGGAAAGCTATGAATGTTTTTTTCTTGAAAGTTTCGAAAACTTCACATGAAATTGCGAACAAAATTATATGAAAAATTGGAAGAAAAACATTCAACAACTTTTCCCAAGAATTCGTGATTTACCGAAGGAAAGTTGGCAACGCCTGAAGGCTCATAGAGCGTTTTTCCCTAGCACGGCAGAATTCCATACCTTGAGGGTTCCTTTGTCAGACACCATCACTTACCTTTCTATTTGACTAAGGAACCTCGCCGTCTGTCACACACAGCTTCAAAACAAGTCTCCGTCGAGCAAACCGTTAATCGCGCCACGCATTCACCAGACATCATTAGACGCCGAGTATTGCTACGTAAGAGAATATCGAATCCGTGCAAGTAATTCTCGCTCCGTCCGTTTGCACTCCTTCGTGCCTCGTGAACAGTGGCGTAGCGTGAATTGCAATGTATCGATTGTTACGCCATTTAAACCTATGGTAAAGAATCGATTATTATGGTGTTCGCTGCGAACACCCTGTGTATCGATCCTTTTCCATAGGATTAAATGACATAACAATCGATATATCGCAATTCACGCCACGCCACTGCTCGTGAATCGTGCGGGGTCTCCAAGATATTTTGCTCGTGTCTGCGGATGCGACCACGTGATGTTGAGGCAAGCTCCCTTCGTTTGTTTCCTCTATTCTGCCGTGCTGAGGAGAAACGCCGTAACAGCCCTCAGGCGTTGCCAAACCCCGCTCAAGAAATCTCGAATTTTCGGCAATATTTTTAAACTTTTTACTTCAAATTTTTTTCAAGAATTTTGTTCGTGATTTGATTTAAAATTCCTCAAAATTTTAAGGAAAGATATTCATACCAGTCTTCAGAAATAAATATTTTCTACGAGGCAATTTGGCAACATTCGAATATCCTTACGGCGTTTTTCCTCAGCACGGCAGTATTGTCATCGTACAACAAGGCGACGAGCACGAATCACCGTAATAAGCGGGATGTGCGACACGTAAATAGTTTCGTCTCGGGCGCGATGCAGCGAATTCCACCACCCCCGGAGCCTCGCGCGGCAGTGCCGTTATGCCGGTAAAACTCGCCTGTTTTCCATTGTTCCTTGCGGGGGAGTAGGCGGATTCCGTGGCGATCGGTGACGGGCGCGTCTCGTCGTCCGTTCGAGACGATCCTGGTAACAGATTGCGCGGCGGGGGTGACGGGGGCCGGTAGTGAAAAGGGGCATCGGGGTTGGGGCGTTGAACAGCGCCCAGGCAAATCACGGGAGCCCTTACAGCCGGATTCATTTGCCGCTTACAAGATTGAGTGCTACAGCTTGCATACGTGCACGTCTTGGAAGGTCGTTGCCGGCTCCGAGAAGAAAATGGAGGATATCGACCAGCAATGGGGAAAAACCGCTTGGATCTAGAGTTCCTTTATACTGAGAGTCGAGACAACACCCCCTCATGGAGTCACAAACGGGAATAAAGATTACAGAAATTGAACGTTTTTTGTAATATTTGATCGGCCCATTCTCAAATTCCTTTTTCCGTTCCTTCTCTCATTCCGTTTGCTCCTTGCCGAACCCGTAATTCCCTGGTCCATTCCAGATTATAATCTTTGCAATCGGTGAAAATGTAATCTTTATTCCCGTTTGTGACACTGCGAAGGCCTAAAATACGGAAACCAATCAGAAATGGATTCACAATGTCTTGAATCTCAGTATAAAGGGACTCTACTTGGATCTAGAGTACAGACTCTTAGTAAAATTGACAAGAAAAAATACTCCTGATTCGATCCGATTTTTCATTGAATCGAAGAGCCGAGCCTCTTGATTTAGGCGGATTTCCTTTTGATTCAAGCAAAAAGCCCGGTTAAATCAAGAGTATTTTTTCTTGTCAATGTTTTTAAGAGTCTGGACTCTAGATTCTAGATCCAAGCGACTTTTTTTTCCAGTGAGTGACGTGGCGTCAAGGATCGATTATTATTTATATTTCTCCATTTGAAGCTGTAGTGAAGAATCGATTATCAAGGTGTTCGTTACGAGCACCTTGATAATCCCCCACTGATATCGCCCCCCCCCCCCCCCCCCCCCCNCACTGATATCGACGGTGAAACTCGACATATCTCGCCACGATATATCTCTCTTTACGACGTTACAGACATCTTGACGTGCTCCGTTTTTTAGATGGAAAATTCAGCTCCAAGTATCCAAAACTTCCATGGTTTTTCTTCTCTATACGCGAAGATAGATTTGTGGAAACTTCAAGTGGTGATGTTGATTTGTTCTCTTTTATAATAAAATAAAATGAGAGCGGAGACTTTAAAACATCGCCAACGAGATGCGTGGCTTGGGAGTTCTACTGGCGATATAGAGTCAAAATTTAGGACTACCTAATGAGGCAAAATCTCATTTTGCCTTCTGGTAACTCCCTATTATGATGATACTGACTTTGGTTGGCCTTTGAAATTTTCAAACTGAACCAAACCGTTCCTATGCTGTAATTTAAACATGAGCTGAAAAAAATGCATCATGCCAAAAAATAATTCCAGTTTTTTGCGGTTTTCTGAAAACTTGGGTAAAATGATTTCATGTCCTTTAGATGTAACATGTTTCATAATGGAAAATGGAAATAACGTTACAACGAGAAAAAAAAGCTCGGTTTGACAATCGAATAGTTCGACTGACCAATGGCGTGGCGTGCTTTGCGATATATCGATTGTTATGCCAAGTAATCCTATGGAAAAGAATCGATAAACAGAGTGTTCGCAGCAAACACCTTAATAATCGATTCTTTACGATAGATTTAAATGGTATAACAATCGAGACATCGCAATTCACGCCACGCCACTGCGACTGACACGGAACATCGAGTTTCAGCTAATAACATCGGCATATTTTTTCGCTGTAGGAAATCCACCTCTATATTCTGTCTAATTCTGTATGCAGGCGCAGAGCTCAATACCTCAGCAAGGTTGCCGTGAATGAGGTTGATGCATCGTTACTCTTCCATGACCTCTATCAAAGCACCACCTCCATCTTGCTATAATGATTTGCGCTAAATTTGAGGTGTGCTCTGGGAGACTTTAGAAAGGCAGAAGCGCCTTCATTTTTTGCTCTATGCTACATGGTCAGTCGTCGAGCAAGAATTGTTGCATTCAGGCGTTAGAAAAATTTATCATGAGGAATGCACGATAATTAGCAAAAAGAACACGAGAAATCTTCCGTGATTGCGAAGAGAGCCGCAAGTGAAAAAGTGAAGTTTTGAGAAATGGGCTCACTAGCGTCTGAGCGGAAAATTTCATTGATAAGAGTCTTCGTTCTCTGTCAAAATCCCACCAATCATCCGAACGACTCTTAGAAATCGTTTCGATGATTAAAAATCGACGAATTTTTTTTCAACTAAATAAAACGGGTAGTTTCAACTAAAAGATAACGCAACCCCCAGAATAAACAAAATTTAAACATCGGAACGACAAAATCAAGAGATGATTAAGGGCAAGAGTCTCAAACTTAAATTCAAATGAAAGCTTAATGCGTTCCGATCGCTTTAACAAGAACGCATTAAGAAGATCGGCTACATAATTTTGAATATTATACACTTTTATGAGAAAAATGTCACTGGGAGTCGTTTAGAGGTTAACGATGTTTACCCACTGACCGATAACCGCATGTCTGCTCCATCAGAGAGCGGCATGGTGATAAACCTAACTCCTTTTAATAATGAGACGCCCGCCCGGTCCTGAGAAATAATCATAAATAAGTAAAAGAGAAGAAGAGGATGGGGGAGGAGGTGTGGAAGAGGGGGAGGGAGGATAGTAAAGTTTGTTCCGCGATCGGAAGGAGGCGGAAGAGTCGATACGGTTGGCGGCCACTATTAAAAAGTCGTTACGACTGGCGTTGCGTTGCGTCAACGGACGAAAAGTCAAAAACTTCTCCGCCGTTGCTCCTCCGTTACTTCGGCTAGACTCACAACGCTGTCGTCCTGTGCTGCCGTGCTAAGGAAAAACGCCGTAAGAACCTTCAGGCGTTGCCAAATGTCCTTTGATAAAACATGAATTTCCTGGTAAATTTATGACTACTTTCCTTCCGATTATTCGGATAATTGTTTACGCAATTTCACCTGAAGTCCCTGCAAATTTCAAGGGAAAATATTCATAACTTTCCCCAAAAATAAATATTTTAAGGAAGGAAGTATGGCAACTCTCGAATGCTCATACGGCGTTCTTCCGTAGCACGGCAGTGTGGAAGAGCGCTGTATGAATATTCGAATGTCGCCAAATTTTTTTTATATAAAGTTAATGAATTTTTTATTTTTTTTAATAGAAAAGTTGTGAATTTTTCATTGAAATTTTCAGAAAATTTTTGATTATCTTCAATTCGATAGATACATGGACCGCGTTTAGCAGAAAGGAACCAAGCCACAACAACTGATGCCAAATTGAACTGATTAATTTATTTTTTTACAAGAAAACGTTTTTGCGAATTATTTCTGAACT